GCTGATGGCTGATTAACAGTCATTTCCTGAATCAGGTGTATTGAAAGATAAATGGCAAAAGCAACGAGAGAAAGAAAGAAATAAAAGGACTTTGGTTTTCTAAAATCCGAAAGAAGACGAGAGAAATGAGAAAGACAACGATTAAAGGGATTTGAAGATAAATCAGATTTAGTTGATTTGTTTAGAAACAATTTGAAAAGTAAAATTTATCAGATAATATTTTATCTTAAATTCACACAGTTATTCAGTAGAATTTAATTCTTGAGTGACATTCTGCACAATCCATCCCACTCAGTGGTGGTAATGTAACAATTTTGTTGTTTGCCAACAGCCAGAAAACCATAGAAGAAGAAGAGTCACACGTATTAAAGCAGGAAAACAGCTAAAACATGCAGGGCAGTGTTGCCTTGCAGACCAGGGTTGGGAAACAAGAACTTAGTCTAACGAGACACTTGTGTAGGACAACATCAGGTCTTTGTTTTCAGGGGGTTTTGTCCAGGCAGTGATGAGGTCTGGTCTGGATCAGGTTATTAAAACCCCAGGCCACCAGTAGATGTGGAGGAAACCAATCAGACTCCAGTCTGTCCCTCAGAAATCCTCAGCAGGTGTTGGGGTCTCTAACCTGTGTGCGGCTGTGGGAGCGTCTCTCCTACCTTCTCTGTCCACAGGGCGTGTCGGGCAGTTCTGGCCCCAAAACCATGTCACTGTCAAACTGTATGTTGGTCTGTCGGATAAATTCACAATAAAACACATTAAACTCTGTGGCTGTAAATAACGTGATAATGTTCAAGGGGTATAAATACTCCAGCAGAGTACTTTGCAACATTAAATAAAGAGAAAAAAGAAGAATACTAAACTACTGCGATTGTTAAGAATAGTCACAATAACAACTGACTAGAGTCTTATTTGTAGTTATTTAACAGAATTATGATATAAAACCAGGCCATGATACATGACTTTCCTTTTTCTTCCTTTTTTCGTTTTTTTAAGTTTGGTAACTCAAAGACTGAGTGAAACCTGGAGCAGTTTCCTCAGGCAGGTGAATAAATAGATTCACTGAGGTCATGTTGGTCTGTCTCATTGTAATATTCTGTTCCTCTCTGTGTTTTATAACCTGCTTCATAAGAAACGCATCATCTCTGCTGTTTAATCATTCAAATGAAGCTGCTGTTCAGTGATCTGAGCTGGGAAACGACATTTGACTGAGAGTTTTCAAGAGAGCAGCAAGAAAACATCCATCGAGGACAAAAACAAAGCCAATGTAAGTTTCAGCAAACTGTGGAAGCCATTGCTTGATCTTATTAATATATACATGTTGTATTTGTCAAATTATGTTAAAACAAATTATTTATCCATTGTAAAGTAGGAGCAGAGTGTCTCCTGTCTGTCTTCATCTCTCTGCTCTCATTGTTTCTCTGTCCAGTGGAGGGAGAGCTGCAGCTTTTCACTGTTTAAA